TTTCTGAGATTGTGGATTTGGGGTTTTCATGAGCTGTAAGCCATAATCATCACAGTTATGACACATCACGGCTTGAACTATCTTGCTTTGCATGTAATGAGTCTATCTCATATATTAGGTTCACCTTTTAAGTTGCATTACTGAAATAAATGAACTTTTGCACGATATTCTAATTTTTCGAGTTTCACCTGTATATTGATTCCTATAAAATTCCAATGGCATAAAATGGAGAAAACTATCACTGCTGTTTAATAAACACTCCGTCTATGTATTTTATTCAAAGTAATTGACTCTCACTTTTCAGAAATGTAGTACAGTAGCAGATATCCAGTCACTAATGCTGGAAAATAATAAAAGAATAGTAGAAATGCAGTTGCACCTGGGAGCGATGGTACTTTTCTGTAAAACTCTTACAACTTACAGTGAACTTTTATTCTTTCCAGAAGTTATCTCCAGCAATCCAGCATGATTGCTAGCTTTCTAACCACTGATAGTATTTTTTAAATGATTTCTCTGTTTCCTGTCAATACAAGGATATGTCAGTTCCATTTGGTTTAACTCTGACAAATAGGAAGTATTTCACTGATGTATATTTTAATCCTGTCTTTTAAAATTCCTCCATTGTACAATAGTTCTGGTTTCGTTTTATATTGCTACTGGGGAATGAAACTGTATGGCATATGTTATATGCATTCATGATTGCCTTTCAGTTGAGTAGGTTTGATAACAATGGAGGTTGGGAGTAATTGAAAGTTAACCAAGTCTATCAGAGTTGTTACCCTGGAAATCTTTGGAATGTGTATCCATCACCTCCAATAATTACCATGAGGACATATATAAGCAGTGGCCCATCTAGTCCTGCTGTCTGTTCTCACAGTGGCCAATCAAGTACAGGTAGTCCTTGACTTACAACATTTATTCATGGAAAAAGTGACTTGTGACCATTTTTCACACATACAACCTTTGCAGCATCCCCATGGTCACGTGACCAAAATTCAGATGCTTGGCAACTGACTGACTTGCATTTGTGATGGCTGCAGTGCCCCAGGGTCATGTGGGGACAAGCAAAGTCAACAGGGAAGCTTAACAACCATTTTACTAACTGAACAGCTGCAGTAAGTCACCTAAAACTGAGGCAAGAAAGACTGTAAAATGGGGTGAAATTCACTTAGTAACTGTCTTGCTTAGCAACAGAAATATTGGGCTCGGTTATGATCTTAAGTCGAGAACTACCTGTACACAAGTCTCTCAGTCTCTCACTAGTCTGTCAGCAGGTGACTTTCAGAGGCAACCTTATCAAGGCTGATAGCCATTGATCCCCAGATCAGATATAATAATATAAATTCTTGGATACATGGAGAAGAGATCCAGTCAAACATATTAATAAAACTATAGAAACAGAGGAGGAACTTAAATATCTGTGGACATCAGACTCAAAGAAGCAATCCGTACTTTTAATTACCAAATCAGTTATAATATCCCCCTCTCCCAACAGAGGGGGAAGGATAGGACATCATTTATCTCCAGTCTACATCACAGTCCTTTCAGCAGTTCCAAGAAGGCTCCACACCCATTTGCACCACTCAGATGACCCTGAGGACAGAGGTAAACCTCCAAGTGGCCTCAAAGACTCTCTAAAAGAATGCAAATGACCAGCTATCTGCAAGGAGTATAAATCCTTCCATTCTCCACTATCCAGTCAGATCTGAAGAAGCTTCTTGGATGAGAAGCAAGACATCTTCAAAGAAAAAACAAAGTCCAGTTGTCTCTTGAAAAAGCACCTTTGGGACAGCCATGACCTGGATGACTGAAAATCTCCATAGGCAACATCCTGTCTAATACAGGTAGTCCTTGACTTACAACAATTTAGTAACCATTCAAAGTTACAAGACCACTGAAAAAAGTGGCTTATGACCATTTTTCACACCTACGACCCTTGCAGCATCCCCATGGTCATGTGATCAAAATTCAGACGCTTGGCAACTGACTCATCTTGG